AGTCGATTAGTTGTAGATAGTGTCGAATCTTACTATAGAGCATAAGTCCGTAGAATGACGTCAGCAAATAGCGCTCGTCATAGGACAGTCGTTTCAATCACACGAACAGTCGCACCTCTTCATTATCGTTTAGAGCGCATAGCGCGATAGTGACGAACAGGTACATTAGCGAATAGGTACTTTTCCTAGAACTTTTCCGCTTTTGCTGGAGACTCGTAGGTGAGGGGGGTGTCAAGATGAGTACCGGTAAGGGTATCGCATGCGGTTTTTGTAAACAAACACCAGTTGAATACAAGGCTATGTGTATGTGTCCGAATAACGGTACTACCATATTCCCTGGCAGATTGTTACAGTTATTCTTGGCCCAACAACACCAAGGATTCTTTTTCTGACTCTAGTAGTCATCACAACAAGCTTCCTGCGTATTTCGTTGGTATGCATCATTACTTATTATGCTGTGTTGCCTTGCCTATTGTTGGAAACAAAGAATTGGAGAAGTAACCAGTTTCTGTAGTATCGAGACTAAAGCGATTCTGTGGAGTGGTCAACAATGAGTACGGCGAGTCAACGGAGGTTACATGCGGCAGTTGTGCTTGTAATCAAAGCGCGTGGCAGTTACACGCGTGTCTGTTGCACCTAGCCTAGAGGTTGCGCGTGGAGGTTGCGTGGCAGCTCAACTGCACAGGGACTGCTACTGCAAGGTATTGAGTCGCTATACACTCGATAGCGCAACAGCAGTTGTAGTAACTTCCCTGTATTCTAGAATAACTATATATTCATGTATGCTGTTTGTGTTAATCAATTCTCTTGTCCTCACATACTAGTGCAAGAGGTTCATTAAGTTTCACACCACGCTTTCGCAAATACAACATCTCTCTGGGGACTTAGTCTTTGCAAAGATCCTACGGGCTTTATCTCAGCCCAACATGATATGAGAGCTAGTCGAAGACTAGGTTCCTGCTAAGTTCGTTACAAGCATTCTCGGTTCTTCTACAAGTCCACATAAGCCCACATCAGGATAACAAGATATGCCATCACAGAAGGAAGTGAGATCCTCCACTGGATCTCCTGGCTCAACACCTAGTATGCCCCCTGTCTCTAGCCTACAAAATGAAGAGGCGCCTGCGCAAGAAACAACCCCAAGAACATCTACTGAGCAAGCGGTCCCTCCGATCGGCTGCGACCCAAGCCTGATGGAGCGTTTCTTCCCCTTCATGTCAATATATGAACAACAGCAACCATCAGTACCTGCGCAGTCAGTTAACAGCAACAACAACAACGTCAAAAGCATCAACACTGGAGTTGCTCTTATGAGTCTGGACTGATCATCATTTGCGCGCGGGAATCAGCAACCTATTTACGCCCCCTATCAAGCTTCACGAGGATCCTTCACGTTTATGCCGAGTCGCCTTCCAGCAGCAGCACCTGCACACAGCACAACAGCGAACGATGCACTTCAGCTACAAGCTCAGTTTGTGAACATCCTCAAGCTGCAAACATCATTTCCATTCAACGGCAAGGACTTCTATACCTGGTCCTTCAAATTCGAGCTCATGATGGAAGGAGCTCAAATCTTCGGATTCTTCGACGAGAACCTGCCATTTCCATTCAATGGTACTACAAGCGACAAGGAGAAGTACATGTATCAGTCGCTGATGGTGTACACCATTCTCCTGCGGAACCTGTCACCAACAGAACAACGGAACATCAGAACTTAGTTGTGGCTACGGAAACTCAGCGGCACTCGCGTACAACCACTTGAAGAGCATGTATCAAGCGCATGACAGCGTAAACCAGAGTCACCTCATGGCTCAGTTGACAACCACGCAGATGCAGCACGGCGAGAAAGCTATGGCGTATATGAGTCGCTGCCGCAATCTCCGCGATAAGCTCCTTCGCTGCGGTGGCAGCATGTCGGAAGATACGTATCGTCCTCGCCGGTCTCGGTCCTCAGTGGCGAACGAACCGTTCTCTTCTTCATGCTCACGGTCGCATCTCGGAGATGCATCTCTGCACTGAACTTTACGCTGAACAACAGGACATGGACCTGTATGAAGAGCGGCACAAGAAAAGGGCATTACCCAAGATTGCATTCTATGCGCATCGTTGACAAGGACCACAAGCAAGACTCTACGTACCGCCGTTCTGTCACCTCTGCGGAACGTCAGGACATACGTGTGTCAACTGCCCTCATTAGAATCAACACCAGCAGCAGGTCCCACAGCGTCAGATTCGCCGTTCGGGAAATCAAGTCACTTCAACCTAAGTGCGCCCGCCGCCCTCCGTGCCGCGACCTGCACAAGCGACAAGGAACATCGTCAGTTGCATGGCAAGAACCGACACTTATGTTACAGAATCTCCACCAACTTACAACCCAGACGAAGTAGTTATGCCGCCTGGACGAGAGCAACTGGAACCGAATCGGACTTACGCCGCCATCGCTCAAAGCGAGCCGTCAGGTCGAAATACGTGGTTCTTGGACAGCTGCTGCGGGCAGCACATGTGCTCTTCAGATCGTTTCATTCAAAGCGAGCAACAACTCAGCCGCGAAGTCGTCATTACTGTCGCCAGCAATCAACACCTACGCACACGAAGGCAAGGAGTTGTTCAGCTACAATCCCTGGAAACTAACGTGGTGCTATAAATGTTGAAAGTACTCATCGTAGAAGGTTTGGGCTACAACTTGCTGAGCGTCAGCCAGTTGATGGCGAAGAGGGTTCACCTGGAGTATGACAGCACTACCCAAAGGTTCAAGTTGTACCACGAGAAGGACGGCCTCTACATTGGGAAATCTGTACTAAAGAACAACGTCTTTGTCCTAAACTTCACTCCCGATCGTGGCACCGCCGACAGCGACACCATCGTCTCGTTAACTTCCTGGACTCACCCTCCAGATCTTGATCCTGACTTAAGTTTGGGTGGCTTCTGGCACTCACGCACCATCCCTCAGACGGAGCGCACACGGGCATTAGCAGTCATGGGAGAAGTGGAAACGGCAGCAGAAGAACAAGCAACTGCAGATATACCTTCACCAGTCGCCGGTCCGTCAACAGCGCCGCCACCACTGCCAGCTGTCGACACTACACTGACTACCGCTCAGCAGCTCACGCCAGCGCCACGCGAAGTCCACTGAAGTGCCGCCACTTTCGCAGCCTTCTACTCAAACCCCGACCTATATCGGATGGCTGCGGGACATCGTGCAGATAAAGAAACATGGCATCAACGGCTTGGACACCCTGGCAACACAACACCATACAACACAATTCGCGCGGGAGTTCTAGACAAGGACGCCCTTCTCCTACCGGATGGCCAAGAACTTCGACGACCCCGCAGCACGTGCTTCATCTGCCTGGAAGCGGACTTACCACATCATCCGTTCCTGTCGCACCACAACCCCAGCGCTTTGATCTATGATTCGCTTGAGAAAGTATACAGCGATATACTTTACATACCCAAGGAAGAAGGGCGCATTCACCTGGACTACGTCATGACGTTCATCGACGCAACAACTCGTTACGTCTGGCACGTCAATCTACCAACCCGCGACCTAGCCCTTGACGCCTTCGCCGCTTGGCTCCCGGTAGCAGAGAGAGACTCGGGGTTAAAGCTCAAGAGCTTTCGAACAGACGTGGCGATGGAATTCCAGTCACACCGCCTCAAGCAGTACCTGGCGGATTGGGGCATCAAAATACTCATCTCACTCCCCTACGCTCACCAGCAGCAAGGTGTAGCAGAACGGATGAACAGGACACTGTAGACGACGATGAGGAAGCTGATCCGAGGCATGCGCCTGCCAAACTCACTGTGGCCGGAGGCGATGGACCACGCCGTTATGCTCCATAACCTGATGTCGTCTTCCTCCTTGCCGAACAACGCATCACCGCATCTGCTGTGGACAGGAAAACTGAGCAGCACAAAATTACAACGAGTTTTCGGGTGCATGGTACAGTACAAGCCCCACACTGTACGCACCGGACGATTCTCACAGCGCGCCAAGTGGGGACTACACCTCGGCATCGAAAAGAATAACAACGCATGGACGATCTTCGACGTGAACGAGAAGGAAATAATGGCAGCAGGTGACGTGATTTTCTACGAACGACTCACCTTGCAGCATTACCTGGACAATATCGCAGCCGACCAGGACCCCACTGGTGGATTCAACGGAAGTCGAGCCTTTGCCTCATCAGCAGAAGATGTTATAATCACAATAGGCTCAGATGTGCCTAAAATGAGAGAAAATGTGCACAGTCAGAATTCCGTCAGCCAGCTTCAAATATTGATGCCGATCTGATGTGTGCCTCAAACGGTGATCTGTAAATTGGATCTGGAGCGCGTTGGTGTCGCCTATCAGCAGCAAGTTGAATCATAAAATTCCATCGAGATTTGACGACGCTATGGCGGTTTGACTGGCAGGAGGTACAGCAGCCACTATAGTGTTAGGAGTACAAAAAACTTAGGAAGAAGAATTTGAGAGGGAGATGGTTCCCAGCCTCTACATACCCCAAGAGCCGAGGTCCAGGTTGGTGGTACACCACCACAGAGTCCCCAACCACGAAGAGTCTCAAAACAAACCCTCCAAGGGGCTACACCAAGTGAAATGTAACACTACACGAAGTAGCGTTACTATTTTCACTATTTAATATTTATCCGCGTCCCTTGGGCTTGAAATCTTGAGCTCTTGGTCTTGGTTCTTCAAGATAAATTCTTCTTGAGTTGATGGGGGCTTGCTGCACACACCTGCGACGCGATGGACACTTCACACTTGACAAAATAGAAAAACACATGCGACACGCAAACGACGACTTGACATGCGAGTTGTAAAAACTCACTAATGTCTTGACCGACACACACCACATTGTGAGACACCATTCAAACACACACACAAGCACTAGATAGCAATGACATAGACTCACAAGTCATTCCATGCCATGCATGCACACACACAAACACGGACGACAAGCCGAGTGCAAGCCATAGGGTTGCACCAACAAACTCCCCCTCGGATTGTTGGCCTTAGAATCTGCTCCCCTTAGTTCAGAGCCATCCCAGCAAGCTTGCAACACTTCCAATGCTGCTGCTCAACCAGCCTCTTGGTCATCATATCAGCTGGCTGCGCCGTCGTCTTCACGTAGTGCAACTCCACTTCACCCGCGGTTACCATGCTCCTCACCCAATGCCTCTTCACCTTCATGTGCTTGGTAAGGCCATGAAGAACGGGGTTCTTAGCCAATGCAATAGCACCCTGGCTATCACAGTAGAGTGGGGTAGGTCCTTGCTGCTCCTCCCCCAATTCAGCTAGCAAACGCCGCTGCCACACAACCTCTCTTATGGCACGGAAGAGTGCCATGTACTCGGACTCCACCGAGCTCAATGCTTGGTCCACTTGCTTCTTGCTCTCCCAAGCTGTTGGCCCTCCACCAACACAGCAGATGAAGCCTCCCACACTTGTCATGTCCTCTGGTTCTGATGCCCAAGATGCATCAGAGAAGGCGGTGAGAAAAAGCCTCCCGGGTTCGACTCCATCCGCACCCTTTTGACGCCTTTGTGCCGCCGCGGAGTATTGCAGTCCAACAGTTGCTGTTTGGCCAAGGTACTTGGCCACTCTCTCTCCAGCTGCTACCTGCTCTTCATTAGGGCATTGGACAACCCTAGCCAGCTGCCCGGTAGCAAAGGCTGCATCCGGCCTTGTGTGAACGGCCGCATACATGAGGCTGCCCACCAAGGAGTGAAAACGGCGCCTCTCCTCTTCACCAACACTTTCCTCCGCTGGTCCTTTCACACACTTGAACCCTGAGGGAAGAGGAGTAGCCACATGACCTTCACTCTTCCCAAAGTTTGCAGCCAAGGCCTCCAAGTACTTCTTTTGATGCACTCGCATCCACCGCTTCTCCACATCTCGCTCAATGTGAAGCCCAAGGTAGTAGTTGACGTCACCAAGGGTCTTGCACTTGAACTTGTCTTGAAGCTTCAGCATCACCTCCTTCACAAGGTCAGAGGAGGGTGAGAATATAAGGATGTCATCCACATAAACCACCATGAAGCTCCTCTGCTCCCCCTCGCCAAGCATGAACAACGATTGATCGGCCGTTGAGGGAGTGAAGCCGATCGCCTCCAAAACTTCCCGCAGCTTGATGTACCATTGCCTAGGGGCTTGCTTGAGGCCATAGAGTGCTTTCTTCAGCTTCCACACTCTGCCACTCCCATCATTGTACCCCTCTGGCTGCTCCATGTAGGTTTCTTCCTCCAAAACGCCGTTGAGGAAGGCCGTTACGATATCCATTTGCTTCACCACCCATCCTTTGATGGCCGCCGCGGCGAAGAGGGTTCGAAGGGTTGTACCCTTTACCACAGGAGCATATACTTCATTGTAGTCCTTCTTCTCCTGCTGCTGGTACCCCTTGGCTACAAGTCTGCTCTTGTAGCGCTCAATGTTGCCGTCGGCGTCGGTCTTGCGCTTGAAGAGCCACTTGGAAGAGATCGCCTTACGCCCCGGGGGTAGGTTCACCAAGTCAAACGTGTCGTTCTCGATGATGCTCCCCATCTCTTCATCTGAGGCCTTCTTCCACTCCTTCCCATTGGGGCCCTCCCAAGCCTCCTTGGGATTTGTAGGCTCCCCCGGTATCTCCACCGGAGAGAAGAAGGCAAAAGCGCACTCCTCGCTTTCATCTTCCGCTTCATCGCCTAGCATGAGAGCCGAACCGGTCAAGGTTGAGTTGGCTGCTCCTCCAAGCCGTTCATAGCTCAACCTATTAGGGGGCTGAGTTCTCCTTCTCCCCCTTCCTTCCTCCTCTGCTGCAGGGACTTGAATGCTCTCATGGCATTGCGGTAAATCTGGTCGGTTCCCACGAGCACTTGTAGCACGAGGCGGAAGTGACGGTGCACGCTCATCACCTTGCTGCACCTCCTCCTCCTCTTCATCCCCATTCATTTGAGGAGATTGCCTCGTGACTGTGCTGCTGCTACTCAGCTCCAAGGGCAGCTCCACATGCTCCAAGCCGTTACTCTTCACCTCTCCAAGCCGCATACCAATCTTCGCTTGGTTCTCCGCCTTCCACTCCTTGTACGGTAAGTTCTCCATGAACTTGCAATCTCTGCTCACCAAGAACTTCTTGGTAAATGGGTCCCAAAGAAGCCATCCCTTGCTGTTTTGAGCCATGCCCAGGTGCACGGCCCATGTTGCCTTGGCATCAAGTTTGTTGTGCCGAAGTTTCTTAGGCACAAGTGCCATGCACATGCACCCGAACACCCGAAGCATATCCACCTTCGGCTTCCTTCCAATCCACTCCACATAGGGCACCCATTTGTCTTCTCCCACGTGAGTCAAGGCTCTGTTCTTGGCCACACAAGCATGCCGCACCGCATCCGGCCAAAAGTAATTGGGAAGACCGGCTTCAATGAGAAGTCCCCGAGCCGTCTCCGTGAGTGTCCGATTCGCACGCTCGGCGATGCCGTTCATTGCAGGAGAGTAGGGCATGGTAAGAGAGTGCCTTATGCCCTGCTTCTTCAGCCAAGTTGAGAAATCCTTGCTCAGGAACTCTCCCCCACGGTCAGTGCGAATCGCCTTCACAAGTCGGTCTTGTTGCCGCTCCACCATCGGCAACCAATCGGTCTTCACCGTTTCAGCTACGTCACTCTTCTTTGGCAGCACATACACCCAAGTCATGCGAGTGTAGACGTCCACAATGGTGAGGAAGTACGCAGCTCCAGCAGCTCCAAGCTTCAAGGGGCCCACCACATCCATCACCACCTCATCAAGTGGTGCCTTCGCCGTTGTCTCCGAGCTATGGAACGGGTAGCGGGTGAACTTGGCTTGCATGCATGTTGGACAGCCAAGCACCTCATTGGGCTCCCCCTTGACACGTATCCCACTGACCATCTCTTGCTTAACTATCTGCTGCAAAATGGGCAATGCCACATGCCCCATTCGCCGATGCAAGGTCAGCCAATCACACTCTCCCGTAGCGGAAGTCGGGTTGGAGAAAGCGGCACTCGCAATCGTGTCCCACAAGCTCTCTCCTTTCTCCTTCGCCGCTGCTGCTTTGCTGATCTTAGGTTTCCCCTCCTCATTTCCACCACCTTTGGCTGCTGCACTACTCTCCTTGGGTTCACACGCCTTGCTGGTCTCTCCAAGATTGCACTCCTTCGAGTCACTCTTGGTGTCACTTTGTTTTCCGTGATCACCGCCACCATCCGCTTCACTCTTGGTGCTGACGCTTGCTGCCACTTGCCTCTCCTTAGGCATGGGGACCACTGGGATTTGCCACATCTCATTGTAGATGTCCCTGTCCTCATGAAGGTCCCAAAGCTTCCGCTCACCAAGCCTCGCGGTATATGTTTTCGAACCCTTGGAAGATGTGTCCATGCCGGCCTTTTGCAAACGCCGAACGGAAATCAGGTTGGCTGCTAGGTTGGGCACCAAAAGCACGTTCTTGAGGCCCACCATCTTCCCATCAGCACCCTTGAACATGGCCTTGCCCATGCCTTTCACCTCTGCTCGCTGTCCCAAAGCCGATGTAACATGCTTGACCGGCGACGGTTCGAGTTCGGTGAGCAAGTCCGCACGAGGTGTCATGCTATAGGTGGCGCCGCTATCGATCACCCAAAAGTCCAGAGAGTGAAGGGTGACCTTTCCCACAGTAGCTGGCTCCTCAAAGCCTTCCACACCTCCTGCTGCAGCTGCCGCTTGCGTGGAGACAAAGAAGAATTGGCCCGGGTATCGATCTTCACTCGAGTCCTTGTCGTAGTCTCCACCTTTCATGCTTGCCGCTTCGCCTCCACGGCCACCACGGCCTCCACGACCTCTGCCTCTTCCTCCCCTTGCTCCTCTGCCCTCTTGGCCTTGAGAGGGGGTCCAGCCATCAGGTAGTTTGAAGCAATCTCTCCACATGTGGCCGGTCTTGTGGCAAAAGTGGCATTCGCCATCAAATCGACCGCGCCCACGCCCGTAGCCATTGTTGTTGCTGCCATATCCTCCATTACCACGGCCTCCATTGAAGTTGCTGCTGCCAAATCTGCCTCCTCGCCCTCTGCCCCTTCCACGGCCGTGCCCACGGCCCATGCTTGCAACTCCGGCACCATCGGGACCCGCCAATTCGCGACGGCGGAAATCTTCTTGTAAGATTTCCCGCTTCACATCTTCGAGTGAGAGACGGGGCAGATCTCGATTAAGGTTGATGATGAGCGAGGACCATGAGTCCGGAAGTAAGGCTAGCAGCTTGGTCTTCTTTTGAAGGTCACTGTAGTTCAGGTCAGCTCCTTCGAGCCGTGTCAACAAGTCGAAGAATTTCTGCACTCCTTCCTCCACCGGTTCGCCTTCGTCAATTCGAAGTGCCGCCATTTGCCGCTCCAAAACCACAGCCACCGCCGCTGTTGCAGGAGCGTGTACACCCTTGAGAGCAGCCCATGCCTTTGGTCCCTTTGCTGGTTCACGCTGAAAAGGCTTGATGTGACGGATTTGGCTGCTCCCCAACGCTTGCCCAAGTAGAAGGTAGCCTTGTGCGCTCTTCCGCACCCACGGGCTCTTCTCCGGGTCGTTCTCGGGGTGCTTCTCCGTTCCTTCCATCACCTCCAGCAGATCATAATGGTCAAAGATGTTCTCCATCTTGAAGGACCACTCAGCAAAGTTGTCACCGTTGAACTTGTCAAGGCCAAACACTCTAGGCTCATCCCTAGAGGGTCCAAGGCTAGGTTGCACCGGAGCAACGGGTGGATCTTGGTGTTGACCTTGTGCTTGGGCGTCTTCTCTGCCTCCAACACCTCTGCCACCCCCTTCCTCAGGCCTAGGCATGGTCGAGACAGCTCCAAGGGGCTCTGATACCACTTGTTATAAACACAATAGGCTTAGATGTGCCTAAAATGAGAGAAAATGTGCACAGTCAGAATTCCGTCAGCCAGCTTCAAATATTGATGCCGATCTGATGTGTGCCTCAAACGGTGATCTGTAAATTGGATCTGGAGCGCGTTGGTGTCGCCTATCAGCAGCAAGTTGAATCATAAAATTCCATCGAGATTTGACGACGCTATGGCGGTTTGACTGGCAGGAGGTACAGCAGCCACTATAGTGTTAGGAGTACAAAAAACTTAGGAAGAAGAATTTGAGAGGGAGATGGTTCCCAGCCTCTACATACCCCAAGAGCCGAGGTCCAGGTTGGTGGTACACCACCACAGAGTCCCCAACCACGAAGAGTCTCAAAACAAACCCTCCAAGGGGCTACACCAAGTGAAATGTAACACTACACGAAGTAGCGTTACTATTTTCACTTGGTGTAGCCCCTTGGAGGGTTTGTTTTGAGACTCTTCGTGGTTGGGGACTCTGTGGTGGTGTACCACCAACCTGGACCTCGGCTCTTGGGGTATGTAGAGGCTGGGAACCATCTCCCTCTCAAATTCTTCTTCCTAAGTTTTTTGTACTCCTAACACTATAGTGGCTGCTGTACCTCCTGCCAGTCAAACCGCCATAGCGTCGTCAAATCTCGATGGAATTTTATGATTCAACTTGCTGCTGATAGGCGACACCAACGCGCTCCAGATCCAATTTACAGATCACCGTTTGAGGCACACATCAGATCGGCATCAATATTTGAAGCTGGCTGACGGAATTCTGACTGTGCACATTTTCTCATTATAGGCACATCTAAGCCTATTGTGTTTATAACAGAAGAAACTGACCGGGACGAGCAGAACGTCGACGGAGCTTCGGAAGCTGCCGGATCTCTCTCGTACTGCTCCGTTCCTATCCCAATGGATGACGAAGATCCACGCAAAAGCGCGAATGTCGAGGCATATTACCATTTCGCCGACAACGGTTATGTAACACCTCAGACCGTCGACACAAATGTTTCCGAGCGTAACGGGCCTGAATTTGTACCTGATCCAGAAGCGGGAGATGAAGCAGTCTATCCCGAGGATCCCCTCTTACCTCGCTTCACACCCAGTGGACCTCAAATTCTCGGCCTCATCGCCACCGTCCACGGAGCTTCGACGCCACCTCCACTCGAGCCTACGATCGTCAAGCAGGCTCTTGGGGGGGGAGCACAGGGAGAAATGGCACGAAGAAATGAAAAGGGAATTGAAGGCGCTTTACGAGTGCAACACCTAGAAAATGGTCCCTGTCGCAAAAGCACACGACAAAAAAATCTTCTCTCTTTTTGGGTCTTCAAAGTAAAGACCAAAGCAGATGGCACGATCGAGCACTTCAAAGCACGTTGGGTCATTCGGGGCTTTGACCAGCAATACGGGCGCGACTTCACGGAAACCTTTGCGCTCGTCAGCCGACACACGTCCCTGCAAATATTGCTCGCAATCGCCGCCATGCATTGCCTGCCGCTACGCTAGATCGATGTGGCAAATGCGTTCCTGTACGCGCCCGTCGACGCAGAGATCTTTGTAGAGCAGCCGCACGGGTTCGTCGAAGATCCCACGCTCGTCTGCCAGCTTGTGAAATTCCTATACGGGATTAAACAAGCCCCACGGCTCTGGCAGCAATACCTTCACGTGCGTCTCATTCGCATCGGGTTCTTACAGCTGCCACACGACCAGGGTATGTACCGGCTCACACGAGAAGCCGCCTACGTACTGCTGATCGTCTACGTAGACGACCTGCTGTACGTAGGCTCGACCGCCGCCATCACTGCCTGGTTTGAAGGGGAGCTACAGCGGGACCTCACGCTCATGGTCTCCCCTTCTCTAAGCCAGTACCTCGGCCTGAACGGGCTGGACGCAGACGAGGCGATCTATCTGAGCGCCTCAAAGTACGCCAACGTCATCGCTAAGAGGTTCGACCTCACCCTGGCTGCGATCTCCACCCCGTATCGCTACATCGCGCCGAGCCACACAACGGACTCAACCATAATCGCACATGCCAGACTACACGACTACCAGCAGAGACTAGGTTGTCTTCTCTTCGCCGCTGTAACCTGCCGACTGGACCATCCTACTCGGTGAGCCAACTCGCGACCCACCTCAAACGGCCCGAGGCGGAGCACCTAGCCGAACTTAATTGCGTGCTCCACTATTTTGTCTCGATGCCAACGATCGGCCTAATCTATCATAAGACAAAGAACGCATCGCCTAAGCTAATCGGCTACGTCGATGCTGATCACGCCGGTGACTCTGACAACAGATCATCGTGAACTGGCTGCGTCTACCGCTTAGAGCCCATCGGGCCTATCTCCTGGCAGTCGAGAAAGCAGGAGCTTAATGCTCTCTCCTCTGCTGAAGCAGAGTATCTAGCTCTCTGCACAGCCACCAAGAAAGGAATATACCTTCACGAGCTGATGGAAGAGGCCAAGCTTGCCGCGTTACCCAGTTTCTCCTTCTTCTGCGACAACCAATCTGCAATTCCAATTGCGAACAAGAATGGTTTCACAAACCGCACGAAGCACATCGCACTGCGCTACTTCT